GATGACGTCATCATCCAAATGGGTTTGTACTGCATTTGGAAATATTGTGTGTGGAATAAGCTTCTTGATCTCTTGTGGAGATCTCTTTGTTGGATTGATGAAGTGTATCAAATCAACCTCTTAAAGCTGTGAAACTTTCTAAAGATTGTTTGATGAACACAGAGAAGCTGTCATGTTGTAATTCATGTCTTTTTCATTTTTTTTATTATGTTGGAATCTCAAACATTTTTTTTATAATTATAAAATTTATTGAATAATTTTTTACATTCTTTCTTGATAAATGTCAACATATTTTAATAAATTTTATTATAAAATATTATAAAAGTCAAACTTAAGCAAACACAAGTTTCCAACTTGTCTTATTATTTATTATTAAATACTAATTTTTTATTATTTAATACTAATTTATAACTCTATTTAATAACAATTGTAATCAAAGAAAACACCTATATTCTTCAAATATAAAATTTAAAATTAAATGTGAAACTATAACAAAAAGTTTGAAAATATTGATGATTATGCAACAATTTGTTTTTAAAAATATTTTCCACACTAATTAGAAAAGGAACCTTTTATTATTTTTTTTAAATTTAGTATACTATCATTAAATTAAAACAAAACGAGCCCCTTCTTGATAAATGTAATCAACATTTTTCAAAACAATCAATATGTACAAAAATGTTACTTAAAACAAAAATACCAATTTTGTTTTATTGATCAATAAAATCAAAAAATATAGTATAAATAACTCTATAAAAATTGCTTAATTCATATACTAATACTTCTTCAAAAGAAGTCTTAAAGAAGTAATATTATTATTTTATGATTATAATAATAAGACTTCAATTATTATAATTTAAATCTCTAGTAAAAAGTCTGGCTTAAATGATATAACTATATTCTATTATAAATTACTATTTATTATTGGTTTATATATTTATTATTATGGGTCATTAAAATATCGAGCTAAACAATTAACTTAATTATGATATAGAGACGCTTTTATTTGTAATCTAATCCTGAATTTATACATGTAATACATTTAAGTAATGACTGTGATGGTCTAATTATGTTTTTACTTCGACACTTATACATGGAAATGTGAATTTATTTATTTACTGGTGAATAAATAAGAGACAAGCTGCTTGAAT